CACACATCAGTCCCAAACATTTTTATCAAGCTCATTTGCTTGGGATGATTTGCCTTTCTCTGAAAGCCTCTCCGAATTTTTGTGCAAACAAGACGAAGGTTTAAATGTTCTCTGTAAAACAACAAACTTAAATTTGCAGCATGAAAAACAAACAACAGGAACCTTTGCGGAAATCGCAAACCGGTCAGCCGAGCCAGCTGCTAGTTGTCTGAATACTGGAGAGATGATCTCCACAGACCACCTCCAAGATATCGCTAATGTGCCAACAATAGATAGAGAGGGACAACATATTCTATCTGATCGAGACTGGAAGAGCTGTGGTGAACGCATGAGCAGGCCTGAAGACAACATGATTCCGAGGTATGATGAAGCTTTTTTATCTTTTGAAAAACAGGAAGAGCAAAATGAAGTGGACGGTTACAACTGCTCAGCTGACTTATTCGGTGACTCATTTGTACACCCGGCAACGGACACAACTCACACACGCACCGAGAGATCGCCTTCAGATGCCCATTTCCGGTTCGCTGAGATGAATGTTCAGCACGTAAAGAATGAAGCCTCGAGTGTGTCACATTCAACGCCTGACAAACGGAAGCTGAAAAGCGATCTGACGGCTAAAAGGGATTCTGTAGGCCTGCAAGATTTTGACTTTGTTCCTCCTTCTCAGTCCACTCCCATTGTGAAAGCAGGTGGAATGACACGATCGACCGTGGTCACTTCCTGCAGAAGTTTGACAGATGAGACACCAAAAGAAAATTTAAGGTGGAGTGTCAGATCCAGGAGGTGGAAGAGCAAAATAATTCCAGGAAGGAGATTCAGGAAGGATGAGAAATGTAAAGAACGACATCCAGCAGGGCAGCAGGTAACGCGGCAAAGAGGAGCAACTAGCTTTGAGTCACCCAGTCCAACCAGTCAGAAACGTGACTCTGAAGCGAGCAATGTGACTGTTTGGGACTATGACAACGCAGAGGGAGTTGTTCCTCCTACTCCTGCTCATAAAATGCAGTTGAGAGTCTCATTCAGAAAAAAATGTCAGACGGAAAATGGCCGCAGGGATTCAGGTTGTAACATGAGACGATCTCCGGGAGCTGGAGGAAATGATGGCAGAGCTCTGTGGGATCAGACTCAGGCTAATGAGACAGAAGGTGAGAGAGATCTTGATGGATCTCACCTCACTGAAGATGGAGGAAACCTTACATGTGACTGGTCAAGGGATTTATTTTCAGACTCTTATCTGAATTCATAACTTTGCAAAAAAAAAGAAAGAAAAAAAAGACTTATGTGTTAAAAATTTAAGATGGATCAGCTGCTGTCACCTTTTCTTTAATAAGCTAATTAAATATTTATTTCACTTCAACATGCTTTTTATTGCATGCACTAAAGATCAGCTCACATTTTATAAAATTGCTTTTAAAAGTCAATTACCCACATTTAAGCATGTTTTGTTTCTTTCAAGCTTATTTAAAAATCAAGTGTGTTTTCTTTGTTGAAATATGCCAAACATATGAGGTTTTTCAGTTCTTTTCGTTTGCCCCATCCTAATTATTTTTTAGATATTAATAATATTATTACATCATAGTTATTTTATAAATTTTAACTAATGATAAATATCCAAAATATGCATATTGCTAGGTGCGTTTGTGAACATGTATTTGCTGCTGAGAGGGAAGAGACAGCAACTTAACAGAGGGGGGTCAAATACGTAACAAAGGTCCTCTATTAGAAAACAAACAAACGATTTGGACATGTGTTCATCACATGACCAACTAAACACTCTGTCACTTCTAAACTCTGTAGTGTTAAATGAATCCTGCCCTTCTTGGCAGCACCCAGACCCGGTGAGAAGACCTGCTGTTCCAGGTTCCTGTGTGTGTGTGTGTGTGTGCGTGTGTGTGTGTGTGTGTACGTGTTCAGGGGGTCAGTTATGTAGGGACGAGTGTGGACAATGTCGTGCCACAGAGCTAAGATTAGCTGTCACGATGGCTCTGTTCTGCATGTCTGAGTAAAACAGAATGAGAGCAAGATGAAGATGATGTTACATGTGTAAAAGTGGAAACTGGACAGCCAGTCCACAGCTGGAGTCCCGCGCTGACCTGTGTGTGTGTTGGGGCTGGTATGTGCTCACTGCTCAGCTGAGTGTGTTTGTTTTCTTTCGTTTGTTATGGGTCAGGACCACTAAGTGATGGAGCAGAATGGGATTCTTCAAATGTAGTAAATGCTGCAGAAATGTAGCTTTTGCAGTCACACAGTTGTTGGTTCAGACTGAAATGTTTCTCTCTTCTACTGTGAGTAGAGTGCCTTCGTATTTGTCCAAAGAGCAAATTTTCTCCAAAGGATAAAAGACTGCAGACTTAGTTGATCATATTTTTTTTGTTGGCAACAGAAATGTTGTCATAAAATTTCATTCAAACATTTGTGATCATTTCTGTATCCTAATGAAAATATTTGGTGCAGTTATTTGGTTCACACATGCAAAATGTGAGTTTAATCACAGGACTATTAATATTTGCTCTATTTTTCAGAATGTGAATAATTAGGACAACTTTGGTAAATTTGGCAATAAAATTCAGTTACAGTAAAAATATTAGGTTCAAAAACTCTAAGATTGTGTTTGGTCATAATTGGAAGAGCTCGAATGCTGCAGTGTCTTGCAAACATTTTTTATACTGTTTGAAATTTCCCATGTCCCATTACAATCAGAAACTTTATTATATTTAGTGTGATTTTATGTGATTGATGGCGAATATATATATATTTTACAAATACAAACCCGAGCTTTCTTTTGTATTCAGTTCCTTTAATCCAGCAGACATACGGTGGGCATGTTCACCTCAGTATAAATCCAGCTGAAGGCCTCAGAAGTTTGTTAGAAAATATTACAATGTATCTGACAACAGAGCGTTACTAATACTTGGTATTACTAGTTTTATCTTTTGCTACGCTTTCTTATTAATTTTGTTCCCTAAGTTGTGTTGACACTGAACTCTTGCACTGTACTGATCCAGAGTACGTTGTTTCCAGAAGCTGCAGCTCTTCTGCACCCCACTGGTACAGTACGTGAGCTATGTCACTGCACACTCAGTGAATGGAAACACTTGGAGCCAGCATGTGTTCAGCTTTACTCTCTGTGACAGAGGGCACATTGCTCTGACCCTTGAATCAGCGCACCGGCCTCCTGCTAAATAAGTAGCTGTACTCAAAGGCCTTCTCGGAGAATGTGAAAGTCTCAGCCTTGGCTTGTAACTTACAGGCTTGTAGGATGTCTCACATGATCTGCTGTTGATCAAACCACACCGCAGCAAATTGCTCCGAGGCAAATTGCCAACTACTTGAATGCATTTCTTTGGAGGAGCTGATCCTTTAATTGCAATCAACTTGCTGTTCTAGTTATTTGATACTTTTCAACTTAAATCTATTTTAAGTAATGTAACATTGTGTATATTTTCTTGGTAATGTTATTGTGTTTTTATCTCAGATTGCAATCGGTTTTCTATTTATTTTCTCTCGTTTTTATCTTCTAAAGCTTTTTTTCTCTGATGTTGATTCCCTCATTGTATGAAAATATGAAACATTTTCATGCAAAAAGGGAAGATTGTTGCTGAAATTGTTTAATCATTTTATGTTGTAGAGGAGAAATGTGTATGATATAAGCTTTAGTTATTTTTTTCTTTTTCTGAAATAGATTGAACATTTCTCGTTCTGAAATACTTTGATGATCATCATTATTAAATGTGTCCTGAAAAGTACATTTGCATTTTGATTTTAAATAACTGCAATCCCAACTTTTTGTTTGTTTGTTTTTACGTTTCTCTTGCATGCTTTGCAATATGAACAATTAAAATAATTAACAAAACATCCACTGTGAGCCTCTAAATAATCCAGCTGAAAACAGAGATAGTTTAAAATGAGAACAAAAAACGGATCTTTTAAATCATCCATAGGTGTTTAACTGGCTAACAAGGTGAAATGCAAACTATTATAGCTGATCAGTCTGATGATTGAGAATTAGAATTAACCAAGAGCTGTTTCTATCTAATCCTAAAACCAGCAGGCAGTAATGTTTTGCATCCGCAAACAAAAATATACAATTAAGTTTTCTGCAATGTGTCTCTGTATTTCATTGTCATCAAGCTGCTGGATCAAAATTCCAACCGATTTTGCTTCATTAGTTTCATCGACTTATTGCACATTAAACAGGCAACATCATCACTTGATGCATATTTCATATGCCGGTAAATATGTCGTACTATCTCATCTACGTGAGCCACAAAACGCACCATTTAGATGTGTCACAATGCAGCGCAGCTCAGTGTACTGCAGTAGTATTTCCATTGCACAGTTGTCAGGGAAAATGCACTGCAGGCCTGTGGCGGGCAGGAGGTGTGGCTGTAACGTTAGAGCGGTGGAGGGATTAAAAGCCGTGACGAGCACGTGGTCAAAGGGTGGAGAAATGGCTTTGTATGGGGTTGTCAACAAAAACGTCAGCTGAAGGGAAACCGGCTCGTGACACTGGAGAAGCTTCTGTGTGCAGAAGTGAACTAGATAGAAATCATCCTGAGAATCATCAGCGCTATCTAAGGTGGCCGAACTTGCATAATGCAGAGTAAGATCTTAGGAAAGACTCTGAAATAAGTAGCTTTGATCTTCAAATCTCTTTGCAACAAATACTAAAAAAATAATAATAATAATCACAGGCTATTATTCTATGGCTCACCTTTGACCTCGATCCAACACAACCAGGTGCAATATTTTTGAGTTTGAGCTCTTTTTTGTGCACCATGATTCAAACATAGACAGAAATGACCCCAATGAGCCACCATATGTCTGTATCTTTTAAATAAAAAGGGCTTCCTGCAGTGTTTTTGTGGTGCAGGCAGGAGTGCTGGTTCTACTTGCTCCAGTTCTGTGTCTGGTGTCAGCCCCTCTCTATAACAGGACATGGAGAGCTTGACATCACAGGCCAGCGCTCCTTATAAGCACCTGAGCATCCACGTCATGGCTCACCCCAATATGAAAAGCGTGTGATTGTTTTCCACATGAGACCCAGTGCAGATAAAGTACGGTGGGACTATATATCCACAATGAAGACTCTTTCCCCACTTTAACTGAAAGCAGGGCAGACAGTGATTGTTGTCCGTCTTCGGTATATTATGAAGGTAAGGGTTTTTAATTTTCATATTCACTTTTACCCAGTCTAAAGTGCTTACCAGGTCTTCACTAATATGTTTCTTGTAAAAGTTATGAAAGCTTTGGTTTGCATAACACTGGAGTATAACACTTTTATTTAATGTGGTTATTTTTTTAAGTTTAGATTACTCTCCACCTGCTTATTTTTGCTTATTTGCTGAGAGTCGGACTTCATTATCAAGAATGAGTAACAAACTGTTTAAGCACTGATATCGCTTTTATTCACACAAGTTATTAGAGAAAATTAGAGCACTAATTAATGTACTGTTAAAAATCGATTTCTCATACAAGTTTCCCCTTTCTACATGGTTTTATGTTACTTTTTTACTTTTAAAAGATCTAAATTTGCTGCCTGACGATTTTCATAGCTCATTCATTGATTTCTATGACTTGCAAATAAGAATCATTTGGTGGCATATCTCACTTCTACTGAGCCACTGGTATTTTTCCGTATCTTCTAACTACATTTTTTTCAGATAATATTATGCACCAACTCTTGACCGACATTATTGCTCACTGAAACATTAATCTTTCCCTTTATTTTTTAACTTCTGGAGCTGTAGGTTTTCAGATTACCCATCACATTCATTTTCAGGTGCATAGCTCTAGAAGACATAGTCTTACAATATAAAATATATTGATAAGCAATGATACTTACAGTTTTCATTGTATTATTTTTATTATTATTGTTGAAACAACAATTTACACCTAACAATATGCTGATTTGTTGACTCTACACAGCTGCAATGATAATGATTTTCTCTTATTATCAATATAGTGATGACACTGAAATCTGTTTATCTTCATACCTGTTCTTCAGGCGACATCGTCTCCGCAGGACGTCACCCATGCAGCATCACTGCTGGCATATCTGAACCATCAGAGGGATCGAGGCATATTCTGTGACTGTGTACTCAGGCAGGGGCAGAACTCAGATCAGCTTTACCATGCACACAGGTCAGCATCGTATTATTATACAAATATACAGCAATATTTTCAAAAGGACAAAAAATATTCAGAGATGTCTGTCGAGTGGTTATGAAGGAGTAAACGCCCCATAGAGATTTGTTTTAGATTTTTTTGTTAATGTTTCAGATCATCACACCAATTACATTAGGAAGAAAACAAAACAGTTTTTACACCTCTCTGAGCTTAATAACTGCTTATGCCACCATTGGCAGCAATAACAATTTATGGCATTACTTTTTATAAATATGAAGCATTTGTAACAGTGAGATTTGGGACTTTTGCTTCACATTGGAGGAATTTTGTCCCACTCATCTTTTTTTTTTTTTTGTCTTTCAGCCAAATTTAAAAAAAAATTAAAGACGCCTTAAAAAAATCTTTACAGACGTCTAGGTCTCTAGGACGGTGTTTCTTTTTCATTTTAAAATTACTTTAGATGGAGTAGAGAGTAATATGTTGGTTTTTAGATGTTTTTGTCTACTTTATGTTCCTGCAGAGACTCTATTTAATTGATTGTTTGATTTATTTCCAGAATACTAGTTAAAATAAACTTTTTTAATCCCAGAAATCACTTTTTGTTGTTACGCATACAATTTTCTTCAAGAGTTGCTGTAGACGATGATAGCTTTGGGAAGAAAGGATCTGTAATCTGTAATCTGTAGCCAAAGCTCTTCATCTGACTGACACCCTTTGGTTTTATAGCAGTCTCATGAAAAGGATGCTCAGGGTTGTCCATAACTTTTTTTAATTTAATGAAGACTCTTGTGCACAATAATCCCCAGATGTTGCAGAGTAGCCCCTGGAGCAGAAACAGCCTTTTTTTTTCTTTTTATCAGCCTTTATAAATCCGGGCTCTGATGCTGCTACCCAAACAGATGATGGCAGAAGAGATGATATTTTCCACAACAGATTTACACAATATATGCAGCATCTTGTTACTGAACAGAGAGACTGTCACTTCTACTTGTCTGGTTATAATTAGGCATTTTTCTTGACTTGTAAATTTCCTAAAACATGACTTTTCATAACTAATCCATGATTTAACAAGGAGCACTTCTAATTCTTCTAGGCCCTTAGTGAATGGTTGTTAAAATGGCTTTTTGTATTTAATCAGGGTCTCTGTGTCATTTTAAAAGTTGTTTGATGATCTGTAAATTATTTTAAATATATTCAAACACTTTGTGGTAAAAATGCAAAGCTAGATAGGGGCAAATACTTCTTTACAGCACTAAGCTAAGCTTGACTCTTTGCTCTGCAAGGTGTATCCTGGCAGCCTCCAGCCCAGTGTTGGCATCCATCCTGTCCTCATCTGGTGTCCTGGTGGAGCTACACGATCCAAGTCTCCCGGACTCTGTGCTGCCGTCCCTTTTGGACTACATTTACACCGGGGTTCTTCCGCACCCTCTCAGCAAACAGGAATATTACAGACTGCTCTCTGCCGCCTGCCAAATGCAGATGAAAGAACTGCAGGATGCTCTGAGAGCTAACTGGCTGCAGATCCAAGGGAATGCTACGGATGATAAAAATGCGCCAGTTATGGTTGAAATGTACTCATTTAAAGAGGCAGAAGATTCTTACAAAATTGACTTTGAGACCTTCAAACACCTTCCGTCATCAACCACAACATATCATTTTCAAAGCCATGAAACAACTAGACAGCCGTTACTTAATGAGATGTTTCAAGAACCCCGGATCGCTTCAGGAAGCGCCAATGCCTGTCCTGAAAATGATGAGGGAAAAATAAAAAATCATTACGTAAATGGTCACACAAGAACTGGTTTAGCTTCTTTAAATGATTTAAATACTCTCAGTATCCTTGAAAGCACTGACACAGACGACGCAGGTGACTACAGACAGGTAACGTCGCTCACCCAATGGGAATCGCTGAGGTCCAAGGATGACAAAGCTCAGATGCATGACTCATCCGGGGTAGATGTGCATCATTCGCTAAACTTTGTAAAACCAGACATGAGACAGAGAACCCCAGAGGAAGACTTACTCAGTAAATCTAAGGAAAGAAAGAGATGCTCTTCCTCTCCGTCATCATCGTCACCCCCATGCTCTGAGGCGGTGCCTGTCATTTGTCACAGTAGCAGAGCGGCTGTCCTGCATCAGTCAAAAGTCTCTGTGTGGCCTCACAATCAAGCATCTGAGTCTTTTGTCCAGCCTCCCTCCAAAATCGCCCACTTCTCACTCTCATTAGACATAGGCGATGACAACACTGTTGAAGCAATTACCACTCAGTGCAAAGATCAAAATGGAGAACAAAGTCAGGATCCCAGAAGCACTATAAGGCACACCAGCTGTGCTACTGGCCACAAGGTGGACAAGGATTACAGCAGCAACAATGGACATTTATTTAAATTCAATGACACCTGCAAGAATGCATCAATGCATTTCTCTGCTACCGCATGTGGCAAAGTGCTGGAAAGCAGAAAAAATTCATCCCCTGAAACCGCGGAGCCATGTTCCTTTTTAACAGCACCCATTGACCACAAGTTGTCGGGCGCTACGAGACGCACTGCTCAGCCAAATCATTGGCATCTTCCTCATCAGGATGGACGATGTGAAGACGCATCACTTCAAGATTCAAATCACCAACCCTTAAAGCCTGCTTTGTCTCCTGATTCAGATGAGTTAGGCGGTGAAGTTAATGCTCCTTTTTCAGCTAAAAGATCACTGAGTCAATACTTTTTTACAGAGATAGAAGACCAGTCGGATATGAACACCAAACATGATGAGCTACCTGTGCCCTGTCAGCATGGGCATGACAAAGAGGTAAAGCAGTTTGTTGGCATGGATACAGCTGATGCACAAGCAAATCAGGATTCCTCTGTAGCCAGAGCTGAGACGTTAGATGAGGCTGATGGACAGAGAGACATCCAACAAGGAAACCCGTTTGATATAAAACCATCCCAAACAGAAGATTGCATTACACTAAACATTAGCATGACGGAGGTTCCCAAACCTAAAGAGCTTGAAACTCAGAGCAGCTCCTCTCCAGTTTACTCACCTCTGAGTGAGCCGGACTGTGATCGAGCCTCAAAGCCATCAACTGTATCTGTCTGCATACCTTCTACCCTTCCAGCCAGCATGCCAACAGATAGGTCAGCTCATCTGTCATCTCCCAATCACCAGCCTTTCCAGTGCTCTTTGTGTGATCGCTCCTTCAGCCAGAGAGGTTCTCTGAACAGACATGTGCGGAGCCACCTTGGCGTTCGGCCCTTCCCCTGCCCCTGCTGCCCGATGACCTTCTCACGCCAATATCGTGTCACAGAGCACATGCGTGTTCATCAACGTTCTGCCCTGGGAAATGACTTACAAAAGTCCTCTGTCATAAACAACAACTAAATGTCACAAAACTGGAATTGATTAGCATTTTTATAGTACATTAGAATGTTAAGAAGGAAAATTGATAGCTTATTTGTGGATGATGGACTCCTGTCAGCTTTTGAAGGTTTTGCAAACCTCACGTTTCTCAGTTTGTGGCATTCTTTGGAATCCAGTGTAAAAATCTAGCAGCAGAGGCATCTTTAGCCACTTTTCATCATGATCTTCCCCAGCAGCTGATGAAGAACAAATCTGTCCTGTTACATTTTTAATTTATATTTCTACTTCTACAATTATTTTTGGCAGCTATTTTCCTTTGAAGTCCGCTGACATCAATAAAAATTGATGTCAGCATTTGTTACCTGACATGAAACTGCAGATAGATGTTATTAGCCGTTACATGTAGAACCTTCAGATGCTGGGAATTTGGCAGCTTCAGATTTTTTATTTTCCTGCTTCGAACTAAAGCCACAATTCAGCGGCAATGTTTGTGCCTGGAGTGTGTTGAAGACTTCATTGTTCTCACGAGATAACAAAATATGTCTACGAAGCGTTCCTAACTTCCCCAGTCATCGAGAACATAAAAGTCACTTCCACTTCGCTAAATTTTTTTGGCTGTTACCAGAATGTTTTTTTTTTTTTTTTTTTTTTGCACAGCAAGTGCGTCAAAATCTAAGAAATGACATGGCAGCTCAGTCAAGAAACAGTTTTAGCATTTTATTTTATATTGTCACACAGATGTTTGTATTTATGCAGCTGAATCCATATAAAAGATGTTAATAATGTTAATAAACAGACAATGTTAATTTAGCACAAACAAGGTGATGCTTATTAGCTCAACATCCAAGTCAGTGTAGAATATGAACTGACAGATGATGCATATTGCAGTCGTTTTCATGTCTTGGGATATTTCTCCCTTAAAAAGACATAAAAAGAAAACTTCAGATAGTGTTATTTTTTGGGAGGGAGTGGAGAAGGGAGTGTTGCTAAAAACAAGTTTATTCCTGTGCCTTCTGCCAGTAGCCTTCTGTTTATCCTCTGGTTCTCTATCTGCCTTATGCAGAAACCTATGCTGTCATGATCAGTTACTGACATGGATAAATAAAATTGTCTCGAGGAATAGCTTTAAAGACCCCCTGGAAAGTTCAAAGAAGAATTGACATGACCACTTTTCTGATTTCCTGAAAGAAACATTTAAAGAAAGTAGAGGGGGTTTAAAATCTCTAAGACACATCCTTCTTTTCTTCGACACATCCTGGAAATTCAAAGGTATTCCCAGGATACCTTGGAATTTCACAGGTGAGTCCAAATGAGCTCTTTGTGTGTCCTGGGGTCTCCTCCCAGTGGGATGTGCCTAGAAAAGCTCCATAGAAGAGATATGGTGGTAGCTATAATCTTGAAATTACAAATCTATTCCTAGGAGTTCTACGTTGAGCTATTAGTCAATATGTGAAATATGTGATGAATTCTTTTTATGCAATCTGTTTCTGTTAGTCCAGAAGGGTGCATGTCTCTACATTTGTGCTGCTGGTTTGCTGTGAAACTTCACCTAAAGAAACAAAAGAGTCAGTCCAGAGGTTCCAGAGTGTTCTGTCTTGTTTATGCCAAGTTTATTATAATGGGTTTCTTCAAAGTTAACTTGTGGAATTTACTTTTTTTTTATTGTTGGAAGTTTAAATAAAAAACACCTCACATATATGTAAAATGATAATGTTGCTACAAATGATCACAATGTCAACAATACCCCGCTGACATTTTATCCTACTTTGAGGCATTCCGCTTATGAAAAATAAAATAAAATAAAAAAATGTAGATGTATTAGTTTTTTGGGGGAGGAGGAGGGGATTTGTTGTCCTATCCTTCTGCTAAGGATAATTTAACATTCAAATTAAAGAAACACATGATTAACTTCACAATGAAATTATTTTGGAAAGCATTTATTGGAACTATTAGCAGCTTTAATGGAGTAATAGTCTACCTGCCTAGGCCTGCCTGGTTTTCTTTCTGCAACTTTATTTCCTTCCATTGTTATAGACCTCATACTTCCCACTCTACTTGTATTCTATGCCGTTCACTGAATATGTGAGCTTGTGTAGTTATAGGACTTTTTATAATTTCTTTACAGAACACATCATTCAAGTCCTGAACTGTCAATAAAATGATGACCCTTTTTGACGTGGGAATGTGTTTACTTAGCAACTAGAACATCGGGTCGCAAAAATATGTCGGTTGCATTGTAATGACTACTATGAAGAAGTAAGCTTAAAGTTGTTGACTTTGGAGTTATAGATCTGAACATAACTCATGCCCATTGCCAGAATCAGGTACGGCAACTTGACACTAAATATCAGGTTGAAGTTCCATTGACATTGGGAACAAGTATTTCTGAAGAAAATATTTGTATGCAGCGGTATTAGTGCCCATTTCCCAAGAAATATTACCAAATCAGTTTGGTTATCTTTCTTGCCTGTGTCAGCTTTTGTGAAAGTTGTAGTGCGTTGTAACATCTGAGGTTAGTAGCCACTTATACCAGTTTTTTTTTTTTTTTTTTTTTAATTATGTTGCGTCATTGGAAACATGTGGTTGCAACGATAAGTGCTTGTTTGCATTTTTGTATAGTTAATCAGAGGTACACTCTGGTACAATGAGGATAACACTGCAAACTGAACTTCTTATGTGGCTTCTAAAAGTACGGCCTCACAATCTGAGGGTTTCGAAGAGACAGGGGAGCATGAACACATGACTCCTTTTCATTTCACATAGCATCTCAGGATCTTGAACATTTTCATAGACGCAGCATAAAATCTTGAAACAAATCAGATTACTAAACAGGAGAGCGAAACAATACTAATAAATAGTCACCGTAGCTGATGTATTATTTCTAAATAATCTATGAATTACAGATTAAGTTGTTACCACTTGGAACTAATAAGTGCTATGCGTTTTTCTGTGTCTTGCTCGCAGTGCTGGCAATGTCCACACAGTTTGACTGTTGCACTCACTGGTTTAGCTGGTTCAGATGACGCAAAAATAAGATGAACTCCAGGCTGCAGCTAGGGGCAGCAGCTTGCTACCACTGCTGAGCGGCAAAGCTCAGTGTTTTCACTTTGATGACGCTGGCTTACAATTTCTGGCAGTAAGACACAGGACTGGCCACACCACACATTAGTTGGATTATTTGCATTGTGTTCTCTACGGTCACAGAGGAAGGCCAATATTTGAACATCTGTTAATAAATGAGAGATTCTTTGTGCTGCTGCTTGAGCTGCGAAAGTTTGGACCTTCTTCACTTTTCATTCAACTGGTGCTTCAGCTGCCGTCGCCGTCATCACCACAATGGCCTAAACAGAAGACAAAGAATGCTGGATTTAATAATGAATGTTGTACCTATGTTTTCAGTAAGACAGACGCTTCTCAATCAGTGATGAAGTATTATATCATAATCTGATTATAATGCTTAATCTCCAAATAAAATCTGTCTGAAGGATGAATTTTTTTCAGCCTTTAAACCAACTACACCACACTTTTATAGAGGCAAAAAAATATTTGATCAGTTTACAATGGTTAAAGTTTATTTAGGGATCATAACAAAACAACTGGGAACTGGAAGTTATTGCAATCAAAAACCTACAATTTTAATCAACCTAAATTGTATTTATGCTTCAGTAAAAATGGGCACTAAAAAAATTATGATTAATATCAAAATGCTAAACAAATTCCTTCCTATAAACTACTTATTAAACCTGAAACACCAAATTATTTAAATGGAAAAAATATAATCAGAGTTCAGAAACATAGACGTAGGAGCCTAAGAAAAAAAAAAAACACATGACACAAAAAGAAAGTGAATTCTAAGAAATAAACCTGAACATAATGACAATGACAAAAAAAAAAATAAATAATAAAAATATAAATGAAAGCCAGTAACACAAACACCTAAAATACTCAGATTTTGCAGATTCCAGTATATCTTAGGGAAGGATTATAAAGTTGTTATAGCTCTTTCTAAAATCTCTAAAATATATATTTTGAAGAGACTCAGTGGAAAATAGCTAAAATGAAGTGAAATACAAGATTTGAGTTGTTTTGTGCGCTAGTGATCAACACACACTCGCACCTCGGCAAAATCCCTAACAGCCATGAAATGAAAGCCAAGACAGTTAAAAGAGACAAAACAAAGACGATCAGCAGCAGCACAGAATGCAGTGGAGCAGCATTACGGTGCACTTCATTTAATTTGTTTACAGAGCTATTAAAGCTCCATCTGAGTTGTTGTACCTGAGTTTTTGTTGAACGGAGGGCAGCTCCTGCCAGCACTGACATGGTGATGAAGATAATTGTACCAACGAAGCTGTACAACAAAAAGACTACCTCCAAGGTCAGTCCCATAACCTAAAAAAACAAAACGAAACACTCAAAAATACAAAAAACCCCCCCAAAAAACCACATTAATTCTTAAATAACGGTAAAATCGACAACAGAGACATTTTGATGGAGCCTGACGTTTATCCAAGGCAATTATTTAATCATACACACAATTTTTGTTTGGGCTTTGTTTTAAAGAGCCACAAAGCTAAACCTTTGGACATAAACATCTACAACTGTCCTAAAAGACACAATGCTAAATAACAGACAATAAATTATAATCAGGTTGGGAGCTGACATTTTACAACAACAAACAAGCAAAAAGACATTTTTGAAACAATAATTACTTCTATATGAGATGTCCATGGTATTTCATTGGCAATGTCGGTGTCATTGCTGTGTTCATGTTCATCACCACTGTATCCATAGTAGATGTGGAAGTTAATGAGCATGACGAAAATTGTCCAAAACCCCCCGAGCGTCGACACAATGCTGAGAGCAAATGATATGGTTACCTGAGCACAGAGATGATGAACAAGGTAACAAAAACACCTAGTGCAAACTTCCCTAACAAGGAGGCTCAGCTACATCCGCTGGTAATTTAGGAAAACTTACAGTTTTCTTGGTGGGTCTGTGCTGTGTCACAATATATAAAATCCCACAGATGGTGAGCTGTAAGAGGCGTGAGAGACAATTAGTCAAGTGTAAAACCCGATGCTTACAGCTTCTTCAGAACAAGGTCATTTTTAGAAAGCTACCAACCAATATTCCCATGAAAATCTCTGGAGGGATGACCATCCACATGTGGAGAATGTAGACGTCTGAGTAGGTGGCGATGGCAACAATCACCGAGGATGACCCGATGACCAGCATAACCGTCTAGAAGAAATTAAGAATGACTCTTTCAACCATCTTTTACCAATAAATAATCTGAAGTGTGTGTGTGTGTGTCTGTGTGTGTGTGTAGGAGTGTGCGTGTGTGTGTGTGTGTGTGTGTGTGTGTGTAGGTGTGTGTGTGTTCTCCTTACTCCAACGACCTTGGGTTGACACCTTAGGAAGCGGTGTAAAGGTTTATTCCCTCCCAGTGTGAAATCCTGAGTGGTTTCTTTGTTCCCATCTGGTTCACTCACAGGGGAGAGTTCAACAGACATCTAGGGGCAACAAAATACATAGAAATGTGGCAGTCTGTCTGAAGTCTGTTTGAAAATATTTATCTATTTTAGAGATTTGTGCTACAAAAAATAATTGCTTTTAATTATTTTCAGTAACATAATAAAATAACATTTTGTCATAAAAAAAATATTGCTGTGGTTTGAGGGTGATGGTGGTAGAGTCCAGTAACAGAAACCAATGTTTTCACCAAGCTCAAGTTGCAAGACAAGCAACTGAACAAGTACATACATTCCAGTGAATCTTACTTTCTACTTTTGATCAAGTATGAAATTTGTGAAGTATTGTTTAATTTCTGGACATTCAACCCAGCATGAGTAACTGAGCAATCTTGTTTTAACCAAACACTAATAAAGGTATTTATTTTAAAAATTATTATTGACAAGTAATTGGGACAAGCTATTTATTTGCAATAATTATTTTTTATAAATAGCAGAATTTACATTTTTCTCTATCTGATTTAATCATTTTTAAATATGATTAGTTACATCTTCATTTTTCTTTCTTTTTTTTCCAAACTTCTGTTTTTTTGGGGGTTTTTTTTAAATATTTGTTTATTGTTTTTTTTTTACTATATGTAATCAACAAAAGTGAACAAAAACAACCCACCCCAAATAAACAAGGAGCACAGCAGTGTCAAAATAGAATAAAATTAAAAAAAAAAAAAAACATACATACAGCCCACATACACAAAGTACAAACATACATTCCCAGGCAACATTCTACATAGTCAAAGCTCCCAGACAGCCAAGTGAACGATATATTAAATGTAAAGAAATAAAAAAAAACAAGTAAATTAATAAAATAAATAAAGATTAAAGTCTCTGTAAGAAAGATTGTACTGGGTCCCAGATCCTCCAGAATTTGTCTGACTTTTGATGAAGATCATGAGTCAACTTTTCAACTAAAACAATATCAGAGATTTGTGCAAACTTCTGTTTGACGCTTACGTTGTACTTTTGCTTCATCTTACTTGAGCAGCTCATTTCTGGGTATTCTGCCCATCTGTGGCTGTAACAAAGGAAACCCCTAAGTTTTCATTACACTGCTGTGTTTTTAACCACGTCCTCAGTAAAACATGACAGCTCGACCGAACAGCTGCGCTCAGAGAAAAAAAAAGAAGAAGAAAAAAAAAAACCTTTTAACCGCGCAAACCTCGGCTTTTGACCGCAAGCTTGAATAATCCCTCCTATTCCGAAAGCAAACATTCACTTACGGTAAAATAGCGAACATAAACTAAGACTAGAAAATCAAACACGGGAGCCGTCTAATTTGAAGGACAAAGTAGTCAATCGTTAGCAAAGTAAGGCTAAAACATAACAGGAGAAAAGCCTGACCGTGTGCAGATGTGGGCTCAGTGCTGCGAGTTGGACTTGTTGTTCCAAATCAGAATAACATCTGGAGTAGTTGTGTTACATCAATGGGCGGTCTGTGGCTCATGCTGCACTCTGCACCCCAAAGTCGCCACTCTGTGTTGTCGTCCAGTAATTGTTGCCCGCATATTAAATGTCAGCATGGTTAGATGTCCGCTTGCACAACAAGTATTGATACCTCTCAAACCTTTTCCCCCTTAATCCTTATTTAAACTCCATATATAGCTACTTTACTTATATATGTCCATAAGTTTGAGTGTGTCTGTT